CTAAAGTAATAAAATCAGTAACAACAGTAACATCACACACAAACTGGAACAAGTTTTACAATTATATAAAAAAACTAAGACAAATCAGAAAATTATATGCACTAAATATCCTCTCAACAGAGTGATTTTACTCTAAGCAGAGAAAGTTTGATGGGATAAGAGGAAAAAGTAAAGAAAAAAAATAAAAGAAATGAAGGAGCTTAGAAGCAAGGCTAAAGGACAAAGGAAGATTACCCAGGGTCTTGGGAAATCAGTGAACAAGACGGGAAAGAAAGAAAGAAGAAAGAAACAAAAACAAGAACAAAACAAAACAAATAAAAACAATGTTCACACACCCCCACACACAAAAACAAAAGCAAGCAATCAAAAAGAAAACCACACACAAAAACCACCAAACAAACAAAAAAAGCTCACAAGTGATAAAAAGAAAAAGAAAAAGAAGAAAAAATCTGTGACTTCAGGCTTCTGGTTATATTCTGGGGTCTACAGTTTTGTGGTGGTGTCCAATTCAGGAAATGACTCTGGTTTTGCTGGTAGACTAACAAGCAGTCAGAGCCCAGATCTGTGCTGAATAATCCCAGAAAACCTGCAGCAGGATTAGGGTGGGGTGCTAGATAATGACAACAAGCCTGCAGTAGGATTATGATAGGGTGCTGGTTCTGGTACCTTCAAGTCCACAGAAGCTCAGTCTTATCCTGGCCTCTGGTTGTGGGATTGGGGCCTGAGCTATTTAGTTTATAACCCTCTTTGGTGTGTCTTGCCAGCTAGACCATAGCACCCTGACCCTGGACATCTCCTATGGTTGCCCCTCACCCAGTCTCTGTGGGATTTTAACACTGGGAGCCCTGAGATGAAGACAACCCACAGCTGAAGTTGCCCCTTGCTAAAATGGCATCTGACCAAGCACTGTCTCCAGGGAACTCTGCAGTTGCTTGAACTAGAGTCACTCACCAGCTGTTGTAGTGCCCAGCATCCACTGCTTCATCCCACTGATGCATTTATCCCTGGAGCCTCTGGAGTCACTTGCTTTCATTGTGTCTCTGTAGATTTGATCCTCCTCTTTCATGCAGTGAGCTAGGAGCCAGAGAGAATGTGCAAATTGCCCCTTCCTTTTTCTGCATTACAGTCTGTTCTTCAATTTCTCTGTGGGCTCTAATTTTCCCTTTAGATCTTTCCTGGGTCCCTGAGGAGCTACCTCCCTCCTTTTTTTCTTCCCCAAGTTGTTATTTTCCAGTGTCGGATTCTGAATCTTAGAGAGGCTGACTTGTTGTTGCTTACCACTCCCACTCTGCCATCTTCCCAGAAGTCTGAGCACATTATCTAGAGTTATAGAAGTAAATACCTAGGAAACAAAGATGATGACAACCAAAAAACAAAACAAACAAACAAAAAAAAACAGTTGTAAGAATGGCTGCTCTGAGCACTAATTCTACAAATAGCCAGTGAAAGGATAATTCTTGTTTTGTCCTATTTAGTTTTTTATCACATGCATTTACTTTGATAAAAATAAATAGAATTTCCATGAAAGGAAAAAGGCTACAGGATATACTTCAATAGTCTAGGACTTGCAGCATGCACAAGCCTGGGTTCAATCCCCAGCACTGCACTGCACTGCACAGAAAGGAAGGCAGAAGAAAAAAACTTTAAAAATTATTTTATAGCTTGGATCTTGGTTGAGGAGGGCCTTCCAGGGTCCTTTCTAGCCAGAAGTCCTGAAACAATGGATTATCCATGTATGCTTTAGAGTTTTTTTCTAGAAGCCCTGCAACTACCCTGAAAATTGAATGTGTTGTGGAACAGACTTATGACCAGTGGTAGCAGCGTCTACTTAGAATGATGCTTCATGGTGCTCTGGGGAAGCCTTTTTGGCTTGTTGACTGTACTGTTCAGTGTTGTTGCGTAGCTGGTTGCACTTTTGAGTACATTGGTGGTGTTGTGGTGTGTTCGGGTCATCAATGGAGGCTACCATTCAAAATTCAGATATTGTCTTTGCAGAAAATCTTAGCTGACATTTTCATGTTTTTCCAATGCACAGAACGTTGAGATTTCAGGGGAATTTCTGGCCCCTCACAAGGTTTTATTGCTGTCTTCTTATTTGTAAAGATAGAAGGGCCTTCCATTTAGACAACAATAAAAGTCATAGTAGGTGGTGTCTAAAGCACATGGCTCTTTCCCATCAGCTGCACAGAACACTCATCCATGAGACAATCACGTCCTCTGTTTCTTTTTATTCTTTCAACAAAAAGCTAAGGAGCACCTCATGGGTGAGACTCATGGAGAATGAGTGGAATGAGATACTGCTGTTCCTTTTCTGAAGCCTACCATCTAGTAGGATGAGGACATTAACAACTGCAAGTGAGAAAGGAAATTTTAAGTAATAGTTCTATTAAGTTCTTTCAAATCTCTTTTTGGAAGAGTTGAGAGTCCAAGAAATATATATTGATGTAATCTTTATGCATGTATCTGGCTACACTACCAAAAACACAATCTACATTAATATTGCATTCTATAAAAACAGCTTGACTGAGTTACAATTTGTATTGCATTTTAAGTGCACAGCTTAAGGATCATATTGATTATTTGATCAGAACTGAAACTTAGTAAAACACCCATGGAAAGTTTCTTCTTCCACGCTCCAAATATCATGTTCAGATCTTTGCAAACTTGTGCCTCTGATCAGTTCCACCGACATGGTAGGAAAGAGAAGAGTTAGGCTGTCTTCAAAAAAAAGGCAGTATTATTTTGTAACCAAATTGTAGAATTTAACAATTGGATACCATTCTGCTCCTGCCAGGAATAACTTCAAGACATGATTGTTGTGAATATGATTTCTATGGTTTCTCTGATATTTCTGATGAAGATAGTGTCTTTTATTTCCCTACATAGAATCTTTCTTATGAAATTTTGCCTTATCTCCCTCTGAACTTTATTTTACTTATTTATTTATTTGTTTATTTTGAACTTTATTTTATATTTGTGATTACTATGTGATAATCTTAATTTCTTTTGACTTGGCTTGGCATTCTTTGTAACACTCATAATATAGCAATAATTAAATTTCTGATTTGATTGTAATCTTCCTTTTATTGTTACAGCTTTTGATATTGTTTTGACATGTTTATCTTTTATTATAAATAATATCAAATCATCTCTGGAACTTGATACAAGTAATAAATACATTAATTTTTAAAATTTAATTTAAAAACTCATTTTATAAGTCAAATTGGAAGGCCAGACACAGTGGGCAACATGGGCAACACAGCCAGACCCTGTCAAACCAGTGAATCAGTCAACTGATGAATAAAAATATGCAATCTAATATGTCATCCAATCCCCTCTGAGAAAAGAGAACCTAACCCAGCAAATATATTTGCAATATGTTTTTATTTGCTTACATAGGGAGAGGTGTAAAAAGTGCTACATCAGGAAGACAGCAAGAGTGAGTGCAGGGCAGATTTTCACTGCTTTTTTTTTTGTATCCTTTGATTTGAGTAAATATTACTTGCATAAAATTAACTTCATCATTCTCTCTCTCTCTCTCTCTCTCTCTCTCTCTCTCAGAACCACTTGAGTATGTTTGCTTAACCTTTTTGCATAACCCATATTTTCAGAGTTTTTCCTGAAGAACAAATGTATTGTTACAAAGCCAAAGTACAAGTATAAAAAGGAGAAAACTTATTCTTTTTACCATTCTGATTCTAATTTACAGTCCATACTCTGTTTTCTTCAGTTGGCCCAGTTTTGTCTTTTGTGTGTGTACCCTCCCTGGTCCAAGCCACATCCTCCTGTCAGTCTTCATCAGTAATAGTTTCTCAGCCTTTTGTTTCTGTCTTGTGTGACCTTGATATTTTGTTTTTGTTTTTGTTACCAGGGATCGAACTCGGGTCCTCGTACTTGTGAGGCAGGGGCTGGAACCACTGAGCCAAATCCCGAGCCCTATCTTGACATTTAGAAGCACAGACCAATTATTTGGTGCATTGTCTCAGTCTGGCTCTGCTTAATGTTTCCTCATTAGATTCCCCGTACGTGTTTTTTTGCAGATTTTGTACCCCAGTTTTATGAAAATGTTATTTGGCAGGTTTTTACTGTAAAGTTAATGTTATATTTAACAAACAGTTGTAGAGACATCCATGTATTAAAATTTGCAGATAGGAGAACAAAACAGGGTGCTTTGGAGAGGCTTTGGTAAAGATGTCTGTCTGGGTCCCAGCATCCCTCTTGCTCGTGTGTTTCCCAAGCTCCTGTCTCGAGTTTCCACTGTTTTCCACTGTCCCACTCAATTTTGGTCCTGGATAGCTTCAGAGCCTGCGGCTGAATGGGGCGCCAGAAAGCACTTCTAACCTGGCCTGGAAGATGCTAGGACACTGTTGAAACGCAAGCGTGTGTGTTGAGACTGGCCACAGAGTCTCAGCAAACACTGGTTGCTGCTTCCCATGCAGGGCTGCCAGAACCAATGCAGGACGCGCGATTACATTTGAATTCAGATGAATGCAAATAATGCTTTCGCACAAGCCTTTGTGTTTACTAAGTCAGTCAGAGAACCCTAGTCCCAAGAGGTGTCTCCAGGGAGGCCCTCAGAACAGCCTACCAAAGAGAGGAAAAGCAGAGCCTTTAGCTTGCAGCTTCTCTCCCAACCCTGAGTCTCACTGGTGAAACTGCCCGTGGGAACTGTGTCAGGTTTCTATCACTGCATGAAATATCTGAGATGACCACCTTAAAAAGAGAAAAGGTGCTAGGTGTGCAGGCTAAGAATCTTAGCCCTCTGGGAGGCTGAGAAAGTAGGATTGCAAGCCCAGCCTGGGCCACTTAGTGACTTATTGAGACCCTGTCTAAAAATTAAAACAGCTGAGCATGCAGCTCAGCACAAAGGGGCTGGGTTCAGTCCCCAGGACCACACACACACACACACACACGATAGATGAGGGGAAGTTTATTTTGGCTGACAAGTTGGAAGGTCCCAGTCCATGACATGTTGGCCCTGCTGCTTCTTGGGCTGGTGGCATGGGCAGAGCACAGCCACTCACCTCATGGCTGGGGGATGAGAGAGAGACTGGGGTTCCACTGTCCCCTTCAGGGACACACCCACAGTGACCGGAAGATCTTCCCTAGGTCCCACTTCACAATGGTGCCGTGTTGGAGGAACCTAACCTTTAACACATGGGTCTCGGGGGAGCATTATGATGGGGCCCAGCGGAGATGTTCACTTCCCCGCGTTCTGGAGTTCTGCTACTTGGCTCTTCTAGGTCGTCACTGGAGAAGTCAAAGCCTCCTCGAGTCCATTCCAGAAGGACCTAGACTGATTCTCCTGCAGCTTCTGCTAATACCAGACCCTGGCTATGACCATGACTTCCATTAAATGAGCGGTGACATCTTGAGAGTGGGTGTGGGACCAAGAGGGAGAGGGAGGGGAGCAGGTAGATTCCAGCATGACTGTGTAGAGGAGTCCAAAGCATTGTCACTAAGCCAAGTCCTGGTCCAACTTTTTAGTTTTCCTTATTCCAACTTTGGCCTCTTCAGTGGTCCAAATGTCAGTGTCTTCGTGCTGGCCTCAATGTATATATTCCAGGTGATGGTTTGGAGAGGTAGGAGCCTTCGGGAAGCACGTTAGCCTTCCTATCGTTGGAACAAAATACTCAGCACCCACAGCTTGAGGGGAGCTTGGCTCCCCATTTCAGTGGGCCCAGTTCATGATAAACTGGCTCCAAGGCAGAAGCCGCAGGTAGAGGGGCAGGGTGAAGGAAAGAGGCTCATAGCCAGGAAGCGGGTAGCACGGGGAGGAGCCAGAGACAAGAATACACCCTTCAAGGTCGTAACACCAGTGATCCGCCCCTTCCAACCACACCATCCCTTCAGACACGTGAGACTTAGGGGACATCTTAGATATAAACTATAATGGAGGTGATTAAGTCATGAGGGCTGTGGCCTCATGATTGGCATCAGCAGCCTTACAAAATGGCCCAAGGAACCTGAGTGTCCTCTCTGCCCTCTTTGCCGCACAGACACTGCAAGAAGACACCATTTTAGAAGGAGGGAGCGGACACTGAATACGTTGAGGCCTTGAAACATGGATTTCCAGCTTCCAGAACTGTGAGAATAGACATCTGTTGTTACAAATAGAAGACAAACACCCATATAAGGCAGCTTATTACAGCAGCAGGAATAGACTAAGCTTCGCTCTTGAGCGGATTCTCTCCAGGTGACAAGAAGTCCCCAGCTACTCTGCATATCTTGTTCTTTCTGCACAGGACACAGTCTTTCTCCCAACAGGTTCACTTCTGTTCCTCACAAGACCCAGGCTGGAGTTTTGGGCCCTGGTTGTGCTGCTGTGGTGAAGTTCATGCCCCTCACAGTCACCTTAGGAGCTGCTGCAGGAAGGCTCTGGAGGCAGCTGTAACTGCGAGGAAGAGAAGGCACAGAAGTGGGACTTCCGGAGCACAGAGAGGGTGGCTGGTCATCCGTGTCCCTTGGTCATGTGCAGGAGGCTGAGGGCTGATTGCTTTGAGAGATTGGACAGATGAATGAAGGAGACCACCCACGGGTGTAGCGGAAGTGCGGAGCAAGTGCCACTGCCATTCCTCACCTCTCTGTAAGTCCTGAAATAGCACTGTCCTTACTAAGAGACTTTCCTTTCCTTCCAAAGGTTGTGTGGGTTCTGCAAAGCTTGGGCACACAGTAAGACTACTTGGCTGACTGATCTGGGATTTCCTGAGAAGGGCTTTTGATTTCTTCCCCTCTCTATGCCCAGTGGATTAGCTTTGGGGGAACTGGAGTTTTGGGAGGCATTTTGTTGCCGTGTGTTATGGCTGTGTTTAGAATTCCTCCTCAAAGCCTCTTGCTTTTCCTAGGTGGCTGAATCTAGAGTGTGTGATTGACTCAAGGTGGGGCTAGGCCTGAAGGCGCTAGGGGTAAGAGTGAGAATGCTACCCTCCCTGCATAGTCTGAATAAAACAAAAGGGGCAGAAAGACACTGTTAAGGTCCCTTGTTACCTTTCCTATCTTGTGCACCCCATGTTGTTTCTCCTCTGCAATGCCTGTTTGCCATCCCTGCCTAGAGCCAGGCAATTATGGACTGAAACCTCTACAGACTGTGAGCTAAAGAAACCCTTTCTCCTTTTAAGTTTGGGTGTCAGGTATTTTGTCTCAGCAACAAGAGAAAAGTCACTAACACACCCTGTCTTCCATGTTTCTATTGTTTGTTCCATTTGTGTGTGTGTAAGTACACATGTGTGCACTGAAGCTCATGGCTTGATTATAGTGGAAAGACTTTGTTGCTAGTATGGAGATTTCTTTAGTTAATATATGCTTTTCAGTGATGCGCTCTGGTTGTGGCTAACTGTAGTCCTTGCCTCTGTCCCAAGATCCAACCACCTCGGTTAATTTAGGAGGGGAGATTGCGGTATAGTTGGCAGAGCACCTAGTTATTTGGGCACAGACTGCAGTATTGTTAATGACACAAATACAACCCAGATATAAGCATGCAGAGAAAACCAATTAATAGCAACAACTATGCCACCATAAATAGCAACCAAACCAGCAACAAAAATAGTTTCAAAGACAAATTGGGTATTGATATACCATAAGAAGCAATAATATATACCACCCTTAAGCGTAGAAGAGATCTGTAATGATGCCGTAGACACTAAGGCAAACCAAACACTGCTCTATAGTACATATCTACTAAATGCACAACGGTCACTCCACTAATATAGAGAAGTATCCAACAGTAGTAGCACAGAGCTGTCTGTCTAAAGATTAATAAAGCTTAATGGTCATACCAGAAAAGATGGGTGGGTGCGGAATAGGAGGACGAAGAAAGTAAGATTGAAAAACGAAGCAATGAGGAAGAGGAAAGTGAGCTAAAGGATCCTACTAAAAAGTAAAAAGAAATTAATGGGATTAAATAAAAGCAACAGAAAAGGACAGACAATTAAACAGAGAGAGAGAGAGCCAAATAAAGGGAAAACAAGAAAAAATTTTTTTAAAAACCAGGGTGGGGAAGAGTCCAAAAAAATTCCTCTGTATTTTTGAATGAGTCATTTTTTCCAGGATCTGAAGTCTTGGAATCCAGCAAGTTCTGTGGGCAGCATCCATCCACGAAATAAAAAGGCCGAGGAGGGACCACTGCTTTCTCTGATTCAGCTTGGACTTCCGTCTTCTGCCTGGAGATACTGGAGCTCCTGGTTTGTGGGCCTTCAGACTCAGCCTGAATTTCGCCACTAGCTGTCCTGTTTCTCCAGCTTGCAGGAGGCAGGTGTTGGGACTTGTTGGCCTCTGTACTTACATGAATCAATTTCCATTATAAATCCACCGATATTGACATTAGCATCGACATAGATATAGGTCCTGTTGCTTTGGGCCTGTGGCTAGGCGGCACATGAGGGTGAGAGCACGTGACCTCGTGGCCAGGAAGCAAACAGGAAGGGCTGCCAGTCCCATAGCTCTCGCAAGGATGTGCCCTGCGTTACCTAAGGACCTCCCATTAGGCTCCTCCTCCGAAAGGATCCCCGTAGGGATGCACATGATACATCCTGCTTCTTTTTCCCATCTCCCCCTTCCCCTCAAGCTCCCTCCCCTCCCTCCATACAAAAGCTTTGTTTCAGCAGGGCATGGTGGCGCACGCCTGTAATCCTAACACTCAGGAGGCTGAGGCGGGAGAATCGCTGTGAGTTCGAGACCAGCCTGGGCTACACAGTGAGTTCCAGGTCGGTATCACTACATAGTGAGACCCTGTCTCAAAAAACCAAAAAAAAA